GGGGGGGGGGGCTCGCTGGGTCCACAGGGCCACAGTGCAGTGGAAAATACACAGATATATTTGATTCAAGTGCAGCACACTCAAATGTACTTTGGATACTTGTTTTCCTCTCATAAAAAAGGCAGATTTATAACCGCAGGAAGCTCAAAAATCTTTCATCCACCTTTTTTCTCCTCCGTCCATCCACTTAAAGCAGCGGTTCCCAAAGTGGGGGGTGGGCCCCACCTGGGGGCTCTAATTCACTTCATTTGAAATATGTTCTTCAAAGTTTTCTCCGTCCATTTCGCTGCACTCGGCAAGATTATAATCTGACGCTTCAGTCACCTCTCAAAAGGGCTATAGCGCTGCTCTTCCAGGAGGTGGCACTATAGGCTAATTGGTTTGTGGCCTGTGGCAAAAAAAAAAAAAAATCAGAAACAGTCAGAAGAAGATAATAGATTTGAACTTAAATATAAACTTGTCCTGATGTGTATTTTTTCATGCTGGTTCTCAAAGCAGGGAGTGAGGCCCCCCTCAGGGTGCATGGCGCTACTGCAGGCTAGGCAATTGAATTTGAACATTACATTATTATTTCTCCAGTTTTTTTTTTCCACAGAGTGAAAATAAAACTGAATTCATTTGTACAATGAAAATATCAACACGGTGTTCTGTACAGAGTGGAGTTTTGAGGCAATAGCTGCGAATGTGTCAACATGGGGGTAGTGGAGCGGGCGGGGGGGGGGGGGGTAACAATACTCCTATCAATTAAGAGGAAACTACCAGAAAAAAAACAGTTGGAACTCAGTGACTTAAAAGAAGCTGAGATAATGGAATTCATTCTAACTTCTGGTTAAAATATGACACAGTAATAAAAAAAAAAACGCCGCTCTTCTCTGAAGAACAAAAGCAATTACATTTTGCATAAACGCTGAACAAAAGGGCTGTTGTCAGAGAGTTGGCCGAGGGATTAAAGTGGATTAATTTAAACCTGCGTTCTTTAAACAACACCAGGTTTAATCAGAGATCGTGGTCTAACGGCAAGGACGACAAGGAACGTTCTTCACAGGAACAGAGGTCAACTCACACAACTGAACTTCCTGTTCACAGCTCTCACCTACATTCAGTTCTACGTCAGGTCTAATTTACCGACGGCGCGGTGACCTCCAGGGGACAGCCTCTCCGGCTGAATTATAGGAGTTATTAAACACCAACAGGAAGCGGTTTCCAAAACTCTTGTTTGGAGGAGGTCAGATCCAATTATGTAAAACCGCCTCAACTGCTTCATTTTGAAATCCCAACAAATGGGCTCCAGCGGCTCGTCACTCAGGGTGAGGAGCTGCCCTCCCTGCCCTCCCCCGGCGGAGGCGCTCTAAGAACGGTTTGTTTTCGGCCTTAAAGGAATCAGGTTTATGTTCCATTCCGTTCCTATCAACGCTAATTAACTTAAATGTTTTGGACATATGGGGTAGGGGGGGTATGTGAAGGCGGAGACTCACAGTGGCGCAACACTACCCCCTTGTGGCGCGATATGAGTATTGCATACTTTTTTTTTTTTTTTTTTTACAACGTTGGACAGGCGTTAGGGAGCGGTGTTTACGCTCAGACGTCGGTACATCCGTTCAGCTAATAAGAGAAATCACATTATGTCAGGGTTCTGAGGTTAACTCTAGTACAGACTCCATCTGTTCTCTCACTCTGTCCTGACTTACAGCTGCAGGGAACACGAACCGCTGCTGGCAGGTGTTAAGAAAGCTGCAGTGGTTTTAGTCCAAATAGCGTCACGTTACGGCCAAATGCTGTCAGCACCAGAAGTACTTTCATGATATTGCAGTTCTGTAACTGCTGAAGGGAAACCATCCACACTGGCAACTGCGTGTGAACTCCTCGTGTGTTTTGGCAACAGTTTCTTTGGCCGTCAATGCTGCCCAGAAATGGGTTGATGGTTGAAGTGCAGAGGACATTTTTACGGTTGTGTTGTACAAATAGTTAGCAAAAAAAAAAAAAACCCGAATTACAATAACAATATTGAAAGCTTAAAATAACAAAAAAGCTAGAAAAAATAATCAAATATTTAATTACATTTAAACATTTTATACTCAATTGTAACGTTTGTCAGTTTATATAAACACGTGAATCATTTCCTCTCAGCCAGACTTGCATAAAGGGAAAAAAAACATTTATATATTCCTCAAAAATTGCATCGCCACAGATTGCGTTAAATGACAGCAGCTCCACCCTGTGGCCACAGCGGTGCACGACAGCTGCTCCGTCAGTGTGAGCACTTGTTACCGTTAGATTGAGGTGTTTTTAATTAGGATTCTCTTGTCAGACCTCGTGAGGCCACATTACATATGGTTACACATAATCAGCCTTCGACGACCACCCAGGGACACGACTGTGCTCAACAGATGGCACCGGCGCACCAAAGGCACATCTCACTTCCAGATTTGTGTGTGATGAGGCTTGAAATAAAGCGGAAGTAGTTTCAGCAACTATCGCAGGAAGATGTGGACCAGAGTTAGTGTCGTATCCCCGGGCCTCGTGCTGCCACTAGGAGTCAGAAATGTGTCAAATCACACCCTCAGTTCAGCCCGTGGAGTGTGAAGAGGTGTACTGAAAAGGAAGTCCGACGCTAATGAAAGACTATAGGTATCTTGTCGCCCTCTAGTGGGAGATTTGTTTAATCTCACCCAGGAACGATTGGGTAACACGTAGAATTCGTTCTACAGATTTGCCCTCTACTGGCCAGGATGGAAACACAGCAGCGCAGGCCTACAAGGTTAAATAATAATAAATATGAATTAATCTCTACTTTAACTCTAATCTCGCCATAATTCTAATTCTAACTCCAAACTTTATCTCCAGCCATTTTCAACTTTTCTGTTCCACATATTCAACATCCAACTTCCTGTGGAGGTTTTATCACAGCGAGGTCAAAAGGCTAATGTTTTGTAGCCTTGATCATCGTAGCATCAAGGCTACATTGAAACCGTCAGCTGGCCCACAGGCTAGGCCTCTGATGTTTGGCTTAACAAATAGTTCATTTACACACTGAGTCGTAGCACATTTACATGAAGCTACTGTGAATCACAATCGCCTTTGAGTGAAACAGTGATGGAATGCAGATAACGCAATCTTTTTAGATGTATTCAGGTGACGAACATTCAGTTTCGGCTACTTCCTTCTAGTACCAGAACCACTTCAGAGAACACCAGGCAAATTAGAAGAAGTGCAAATTAAAGGTTAACAAGTTCTAAATATAATAATAAAATAATGTCCAGACCCTGAAACAGATGGTTTTATATACGGCCTGTTCCGGAGGTTTTTAGTAAGTAAGTAACCCCCAGGTGTTGTTGCTGTGTCAATAATGTTTGTTTTAAGTGCTCACTGAGTTCGAATTGCAGTTTTGTTTTGTTTTTTAAAAAAAGGGAAAATTCAATATATTCTACCATTCAGTATTATACTGATAAATAACTGAAGGACGTTGCTTATTTGTCCGGTTTTATTAGTTTGTGCTACCACAAAATAAAGAGTTAGAATTTTTTAAGGAGACTTAAAATAATGACCTTGGCATTTTCTTTCAGTTAGTTTTGTGTTTTGATGAATTTAAAATGTATAAATTTTGTTTTTTGAGGTAATATAAATACAAAATAACTCAAATATCTCACACCTTTATCTGTGACTGTGCTCTTTGGCAGGTCAGTTGTGTTGTGTTTGTCAGTTTCTGGTCGATTGAAAGGTGCAAAGATTGATGTAATTAAAGTTAAACGTGAGCTCTGTGTTATTGTCACAATGGCGCTGATTGTCATTGACCGTCAACTGTGTCCTTATGACTTTCCTCATCGTACTTCAGACCATATTGTGTACTAGCAACCGGTCGTCACCAGTGTGTGGGCGTCACTCTTCGCTGGAAACCAAAGAAGAAGAAGAAGAGGCCCACGCGTGACTCCTTCCTTTTTCCAGGATGAATAAAATTAACTTCACGAGTATTCTATAACACAAGCGTAGTCCGGGGGCGTGAATGTAACGCACAATGACGATACACGACGTGGTTGGTCGACAGTGCCGTGACTGCGGCATGCTGACCAATCGTCTGCCTTTTAAAGGTCCCGTTTTTTCTCGCGACGAACGATGTTATATAAATCCGCAACGCAGCTTTACAATCGGCCATTTCGTCTGTGCAGGCCGTCAGCTAAAGAGGGCACTGGGGATATAGATCTATTACTGGTTATCTGAAAGGCACATCTGAAACAACGCAACATGAATGACACAGTTGTATCTTTCGCCAAGGATTTCTTGGCCGGCGGTATCTCTGCTGCCATCTCTAAAACAGCTGTGGCCCCAATCGAAAGAGTGAAGCTACTCCTTCAGGTAAGAAAAGCCGCCTTCTTCCGGAAGTGCCGCAGTTGTAGCCGGCTAGCTTCTTAAACTCGCTAACCAATGCGTATTTCATTTCAGTGTTAGTGGCTCTTATTGCTAACCGAAACATATGTATCTCGTACACTCACATATGATATAAGTTGTCATTGAAAGTTCTTATGGAATCATCAAAGTGTTCGGTGTTCTAGGATATAAGGTCATCACGCGATAGCGAATGACCTACGCCAGCTTAGCATTGTAGCTAATGCTGCAATCCCACGTTAACCTTACTTAGCCGGCGATGCTAACAAAGGACAAACGCTTGTTAATAATACGGGGGTCATCTTTTACCGCTACATTTCAACAAACACGCCTTTTTCTAAACACTCATTAATGAATTTATAATAAATGGTGTCTTTTTAAATTTTTGTTTCATTAGACCCCCAGGACACTTGGTGACTAATGCTAGCTGTTGGATTTAACATGGCTGCTCCGAGGCCCGCTAGAAATCATTCATTGCCGGGTCGACGAGGTTTCCTTTTAAGTTTAACTTTTTACTATTTAATCAATGTTTCATTGACGACGTCACACCCGCGATTTCACAATTATAAACTTTTGACGTTCAATTAACTGGTATTTTTTAATTGATTTATTGCGGTATTATATCATTGTTATGTCATAATTGATTTATTGCGGTATTATATCATTATGTCATATGTCAATGTTAAAATATGTATGATTACTATAGACAGCTTTGCATTCAGTTACTGAAGGTCACAACAAGGGGACCTTGGGATTGTCATGTGATCTTCAGGTGAACAGGCCACTCATCTTGAACCTAATCAGCTATTGTTTCTTCCTCACTCCAGGTCCAGCATGCCAGTAAGCAGATCACCGCAGACATGCAGTACAAGGGTATCATGGACTGCGTCGTCCGTATCCCCAAAGAGCAAGGTGTGCTGTCCTTCTGGAGAGGTAACCTTGCCAATGTCATCAGGTACTTCCCCACCCAGGCCCTCAACTTCGCCTTCAAGGACAAGTACAAGAAGATCTTCCTTGATGGCGTTGACAAGCGTACCCAGTTCTGGCGGTACTTCGCCGGTAACCTGGCATCCGGTGGAGCCGCTGGAGCCACTTCCCTGTGCTTCGTGTACCCTCTCGACTTTGCTCGTACCCGTCTCGCCGCTGACGTGGGAAAAGCTGGAGCAGGGAGAGAATTCAGTGGTCTGGGCAACTGCTTGGCTAAGATCTTCAAGTCTGATGGTCTGAAGGGTCTGTACCAGGGCTTCAACGTCTCTGTGCAGGGTATCATCATCTACAGGGCCGCATACTTCGGCATCTACGACACAGCTAAGGGTACGTTGACTTTTCACTCATTCGGTGATCTTTTTTTCTTTTTTTTAAGGTAGTGACTAAACTTTGAGGCACTAATTATTTTCCCCTATTTGCAGGTATGCTTCCCGACTCCAAGAACACCCACATTTTGGTGAGCTGGATGATTGCACAGAGTGTGACAGCCGTTGCTGGTCTGACTTCATATCCCTTCGATACTGTACGTAGACGCATGATGATGCAGTCTGGACGCAAAGGAGGTACGTGTTTTTTGTTTTTGTTTTTTCCTCCCCCCATCTAGTTTTGCCGAAATACAAACTTCTAAAAACCGAACTCCCTGTCGATGTTAACCTAACTTTATTCCTGTCTTCTTTTTTTTTTCAGCTGACATCATGTACAGTGGGACCATCGACTGCTGGCGTAAGATCGCACGTGACGAGGGCGGCAAGGCTTTCTTCAAGGGAGCCTGGTCCAACGTGCTCAGAGGCATGGGTGGCGCCTTCGTGCTGGTGTTGTACGATGAGCTGAAGAAAGTCCTCTAAGTCTTGTCAGTCGCGTCACTGTTCAATTTGGCTAAATGTTAATAACTTTCCACTTCTATGGACTCAGCATTCTGCCTTATTTATGGGAACAATTGATAGTGTTTCGCCACCAGTTGTGGGCCGTTGGCTGTATGTTGTGCATCTTTTATTATTTTAAAACGTTCCACATCCACCTTACAATGTCATTCCTGTAAACATCAAGAACTGATTACCTCCTTGTCATCACTAGATTTGTATGGTCCCAACTTGAATAAATTCTGGGGAACAAACTAAACAGTTTGTCAACTCTGTCCTCTGTCGCTGCCACCATTAGTTCAATGCATGATGGGGGATTATTCCTCACTGCTATATTTACACATGCTTATCCTGAGCCTTTGTAGTCTGACCACAGATACTGTACAGCTGCACGACACCCGAGTGTGAGCAGCTTCTGAAAACCACTCGACAAATTCGACAGTGAAGGGAATTCCACACTTGTCTAGCTGAGGTCTCTCGTACGGTTGACGTATCTCATTACCGGCAGGTAACGTCGCCCGCCAATGTCCATACATGTACAATACAAGACGATACTTATCTTAATAAATACCTGATTAAACCAATGCAGCTCTTTTTTTTTGTGAAGTTCTTAAAGTATTTTTTGGGGGAAATAATTGAAAATGTTGAATTTAATATTCTCAAAATGAACCTTCAGCATTACCAAAACAACCAACATTTTTGAAAGCACAATGTAAGTGGAACAGGTATTAAAACAATAATCAGATGTTGGTTTGTTTAAGACGGGATGATACTTGACCAACAGGGTCAAGTATCTTTTGAAATGTCCTGGAAAAGTCTTGAAGACCTCCACAATAGAGCAGGAACCCAAACATGGAATAATATGAAAAAAAAGTGCTTTACAAAGAGGTTTGCAGAAAAATAATTTTATTTTTGTTTTCCTTTAACAACAGTAGTACCTTTGCGTAGAACGCTAAAGTGAAAATACCAGCATCCACAGCAGAAGAGCTTTGGACCTTCTCTCTTCTCTCAGTGGCTGAAACAGTTGCTCTCTGTGTGATTGAGTTTGGTTTTTGTTTGGTATCTTTAATAATAATAATAATTTAATATAGTACTGACTGTTTGTTTCCCTAATTCCTTTCTTTTTAAATGCTCTTAATCTAAATGTTAATGTCTTAATTTGAATTGAATTAAAAAATATTTGCTCCACTAAAGCAAAGTGTGATTTGTAGATTCAGGGGTAAATAGATCAAATCTACTATGGGGTAATTTTTTTCAAGGCTAAATAAATCTCTTTTCCTTATCTTCTTGTCACCTGTCAGTGAGGAAACACACGTGATGTGATCATTTGAAAGGTCACGCCATGGTTGGAAACAAAGTCCAACTGCTTTCTTTGAACGGACCCACATGTGACGCTGCAGTTTGGCCAGTAGAGGGCGTCTGTAGCAAAGAAAAGCTATGTGCGTATGTGCGTGTGTGTGTGTTCGGCCCTTTTATTTCCCTCCACTATGGTTTTGGAAGCTAAAAAGCACTTTGTTTTATCGCCATAACATAATTAGAACGGCCGTAAATTGGACTCCGAACTATTGTAAACACGTGCGCGTTTATGTTTCACCGCGATTACAAGTCTACATCGTCTGAAGTAAAGGCCACACAGAACATGTAAAATTAACTGTAACTGCCCCTCCTGTCAGCAGGGGCAGTAATAAACATCAGCCGATGGGCGTTGCAACTAAATATATTGTCCTTATGTCTATAAAGTGGCCAATAATCATCATATAATATGAACGTATCCAGAATTATTCATCTCAGTTCCCCGCATGTACTTAAATGGATTTAGTGAGCCCCTGGTGGTGATTTGTGTGTCCTGGTCATTATTCTAAAGAGCACACATTTAGCAGCACTGCCCCGATTTATGAGCAGGTACAAAGACTGTGATTAAGTTTGTTCCTTATGAAAAATACCCATCCCCCCCCACTCCCTCCCCCCCCTG